TTTCAAGCCTTATCGGGCAAGAGTGTTTGCATATTTTTTTTCTTTCTTTTCAGTGCGATCTTCGAGTTCCTGCAAGCAGTCAACGATCAAAGGAAGTTGAAGAATTTACTCTTATTTTGAGAGATTGTCTTATATCGTATTGTCTTTCTTTCATAATGACCTTTGTTTTTTTAAAATAATATCAGTTGTGAGGCACTCAAAGAGTGCCTTTATATATCTCCTGCAATCTCCTTCTCCTATTACATATTACGTACAACTAAAAAGAAATAAAATGAAACATAGACATTTTTTCTTGGGACAAAGTTTTGGTGTCATCCGTATGCCATACTTGTGATCCCGCGACTCCGTGGCCAGAAATCACGCGCGCGACCATGCCGGCGAAATAAGGAAAGAAATCGGTCTCCCCTCGCCCATGTGATGATCCCGGCTAAAAAAGGCAACATAAATCAATCGCCTGCTCGCCGTTTCTATCGCGATCGCCTCCCTCCTCGCCCTTGCTCCTCCGTCACACGGCACGTCGTCCAGGGCGCGCACGACGGCTTCGCCTAGCCGTGGGTGCCCCGCTAGGGCGCGACGCACAGTAAAAGCACCGCCCTGAGCCACAAGCCCGCGATCCGGCGCAGCCTGCCGTCGATGTGCATCTTGCGGCGCTACCACGATGCCTCCGCTCATCAAGCATGCGCGGCGATCAGTCTCCACCTCACTCCGTGCTGCTTACCTCCAACAGCCGCAAGTGCCTCCAGCACCCGGCGAGCAGGATCCAAGATTCGGTCGGGGTCTCTCTGCTCACAGATCCGCGATCGGCACTCCTCGCGCCCCATGATGGAGTCCTCCGGCGATGGCGGCTCTGGTTGGCCGCCGCCCTCGGTGGGGAACTGGGGATGGTGAGTCCCGTCCCTTTGTCAGCGCCCGTCATATATCTCTAGGTAATTCCCTTACTCATCAGGAAGTAATAGTTGATGTGCTGCTGTCGCTCATCTGTCTTGCCGTGCTTCTCCTCAGCGCGCTGCTTGCGCCGTTCTTCTTGGTGTCATCCTCGTGGCCGGCATCGGTATGTGGCATTAGGATTTAGTTTGCGGGGAGTAGGCTGGTTTGACTATTACGTGATGGTGCTGTAGTGGACGGCGGGCACCATCTGCTGCGAGATCACCTACAGCGTCTCTCACCGCCGTGGCCATGTCCATGTCCACGTCCACGATCACCTCCCTAGAGCTGCACACATCATATTCAACAGTATGCTCATGAGGCAAATCCTACCGGGTGTTAATAGAAGTTTTTTTATGCGATTTGTGCTTGCTTCATAATCTGAGCTGGCCTCTGAAGTCTGAATAATGATAAGATTGATTGCACCTTGGGGTTGCGATTCAATCGGACAACTATTGCTTGCATGTCAAGTTCACCATTTTTATATCTTGTTGCAAGTAAAAGCAGAGCTCGAGCTTAGGATGTCTTGTTCTGAAGTTTACCGCTCAGTTTATTTATTAACTCTTTCTCTTTCCCAAATTCCAGACCATTTTCAACAGCACGTGTCAGATTGCAACGCAAGAAATTAGGATTTTTTTATATGAAATGGGCTACAAAATCAAACTTGTGATCTGGTGATCCAAATCCAACTGTTGAACCATACCCTTCCCACTAGGGAGGCTGTGCTGATTCTCTTCTCTACTCCTAAAAAACCTCAAAGGAAATAATTGTCTCAGGGTGACAACTTGTTAGATAAAGACTTCTGTGCAAACGTTTTGATTAACTTGCCTCAAATCAATAAACATCAATATTCTTTTTTGCTTGCACTGTGGTTATTCAGTCAAAAATGTGGGTTTCAGGGCAGCAAACCTCAAGAGGAAATTGGTGAAAATTCAGGCAGCAGTCCTGTCAAGGTCGACGTGCGTGCACCATATGTTTAGTGTTTGTTTGCTAGGCAGCATTGTTGAAACTGAAACCTTAATGCTATTTATATGCAGTGACGAGTGATTGTCATAGCCTCATACGCGCCTTCGGTTTATTTTTTCTGATTTTGGGTTTCAGACCGAATTACATGTTAAAAAATTGAGAAGAAGTCAAGCAGGAACCATTTGAGATCACCGTGCATGATATGGTTAGTTCTTGTTCGCTAAGCACAACTGTCAACACTGAAACCTTATGTTGTGATTGTCGTAGGTGCCTTATAATTTATTTCCTTTCTTCTGAATTTTGGTGTCATTATGATCCAAGCATGTATATTTATGTTTCTTGCAGGTCAATTTATCACTGATTTTCAACATTAAGCGTGGTTTTGGTTGTTGAGTAATGTACTGTTAGCTGAGCTTTTTTTCATAAAGAAATGCTAGCTATGTGTTACTTTAGTTTACACCTTTGTCAGAGGTTTAGTGTTATTGTTAAGCACTAGATGATGTAGACTGTTTACAACTTTAGAGTGAATTAGGATATTCTATCTGAGCTTACAATTCTGGTGTTTGGTGTATATAAAGCCCCTGTTTTGTTTGGTGTATATTATTGTACTGTCAAAAATTACTAGAAGTTAATGGAACGATTATCATTGTGTATAGCATTTCAATTCAGTGAGCATTGTGTATGGCACTTCAATTCAGTGAGCATTTGCAGTAAGACCTCTTTGTCTCTGCATTGTTTGGTGTCGTCAACGGCAAAAGATGATGAGCTTGCAACCTTGTTGCTTTCCTTTTCATTTGATTTAGGAATGACAAATGATTGTTAGACTGCATGGTAGGCAAATTGAACGCCAAATTATTCAATACATTTGCCTTGATGCTGTGACTCACATGCAAAAAATGAATCACTCGTTGTTGGGTGTCAGCTTAATAGGTCCCCCGTGCGTCGTGGGCGTGGCTCTCGACCTGTGTCCAACCTCGGCTCTCGTCGACCTGTGTCCATGCTAGCCATAGATTGCTTTGGGAGTCACAGGCTGTTCTTGGCTGACGACGTGCAGATAAGGGGCTGTTCGCTTGAACTTATCAGCCGACTTATTAACTAGAATAGTATTTTTCTCTCACAATAAAACAGCTTCAGCCGGTTTATCAGCCGGCTTTAATACCAGCCGAACAAGCCAGAGCGTCGTCGCAGGTGGGACAACAGTGGCATAGGCAAAGCGATCGCCATGCGCGTGGCCTGGCCAGGGTCGGATGGTTGTTCCCGTCGCAATGATCATAGCTTGCAATTTGATGCCTTGTCATTCCTTCAGTGATGGCTGCTGGTCTGGTAGCCCTTGCAAGGGCAGCCGAAGAATGGACATCGGGTTAGTAAGGAAATGCTCGTATCACGCTTGCAAGGACATACTGGAATCATGATCCAATTAATCATGAATGGTTAAGATGATTCTTTAATAGCATCATATAAATGTATCACCCTTAATACATGATATCGGTCCACAATGGTGTGGTCGGACATTATTTTATTTCCGTTGCAACACACGAGCTATTTAACATAATCTATGTCTTAGTTTACAAATGTTGTACTATTGCCTATTTGACCGTGTTTCTTTTTTGCACAGAACTTACCAAGGACGTAAAGTGGGATAAAACATCAAGCACTAAGGTAAGGGGTGAGCAAAATTAGCTTCTATTCATGAATCACATGTTTTTTCATACGACTTAGTTTAATCTACTTGGACAGTTGGGAAACAACAAAGAACATAGGAATACCTCCGTATTTTAAGTTTTTCTTTTGCATAAATTGTTTGCAACATGTGGTTACAGGTACACATCATCTCCTAATAGTACTATATAAATTGTTTCAATGTACTGATTTGATTCTTAACGTCTTCGTCTGACATCGTGTTCACAAACTGTACTGTAGCATGTAGCCTGCGGTTTTGCAACTCTGATCTCCATGGCCTGAACTCGCCCTTTCTCAAGCTCTTGTGTCATGGGCATGAGATTCATAAGGACAATGTAACTTTGTCTGTCTTCGAAAATGATGTAAAACCCTTGAACTATCTATCGGGCAGGTTTGGACTGTAGATGGAATCAGGTGGGAGGTTTTCTCCCTCTCCGATGCCCCATAACAGCAAGGTTAAATTACTTGCAAGAAGTAAACATTCCGGGTACTATATTCATAAGTTTTATTGCTATTATTTGATGGCAATAGACTTGAGAATAAGATAAAATCGCAATATAGCTTAGCACTAGGCCTGATCTCAATCAGAAACTACGAGTTTTAGTTTGGTAACATGGATTGAATATTTAGATGATATGAAGGGCATATTTGTATCTCATTCTCATAGTGCTGATGTAGACCGGGCAAATTTTTGATTTAACTTGCAGTACGTGGTCACAGTGAATATACATATTTCTGGATGGAACCATGATATCTTCGAGTGAAAATTTATTTGTGAAAAAAACATTACAGATGACATAGATGGGTAACTAACTCAGAGTCACCGTCGCTTGCAATAATAATACCTATGATTTAACTAATTTTTATATATTGCTGATGGTGGATCTTACCACAGGCACTCAAGTGGATATCTTATTCTACATATATGTCTGCGTGGAATAGACCTAAAGCCATACATATTTATACGGTGAGTATAACGTATGTTGTTTTAAGGTTATGTGAGAGATTTTTCAAGACACAAAGTGTTACCGTGTGACATGCATTAATATTTATATATATACTTGAATCTGTGTACAGGATGGTATGAAGATGTGGCGGAACTTATTTGTGGATTTATTGGCGCACAAAAAAATAGACATCGGAGATTTCTTGCTGCCGATATAAAATATTATCTTAGCTGCATCACGAAAAGATCTATATAGTAGAGTTTGTGAGCCTACGATGCCGTGCTCTCTATGACTATAATAATTTTAAGAACTTTGTTTTTTTTATTAAATATCACTTTAATGTTGATATTTAATTTTACGGTATTGTTGTTTTACGGTGGGATACGTGTATTTTAATACAAAATCCCGTAGCAACGCACCTAAGAAAAAGATTGACGAGGTCCGCTTTCATTGGTCATCGGTCAGCAGCATTCCCTCTTCCAAATGCCGTCCGCCCCGTGGCCTCCCGCTGCCGGGGCGCCGCCGCCGCCGCCGCCGCAGCCAGCGACGCAGGGCACGGTCTCCACCGTGGCGCCGGAGCGTGGACCCGTCGAGGTACGACTTCCCTCCCTCTCTGTCTCTCGCTCTCGGGCCCTGGTCTCCACTCAGCTCGCGCTCACGCTCACGCTCAGCTCACCTGACCTCATCACCTAGGGTTCCCGATCTCCGCCCGCGAAGGAGGCGGAGGCCACGGCTCGGCTTCCGTCTGCGGACTACTACTCGTAAGGCCCTCTCACTTGCTCCCCCTCTCTCGTGCTCTGTGTTTGTGCAATTGTCGCCCAGGACTTGTGCAGCTACGTCGGGAACTGCCTAACTGGTTCCGGGTTCACGAATTAAGCGCATTTCCGAATGTTGTTGTCAGTCTTGCTAGGATGGTTTCCTGCAGCTTTTTCAGCGAGTAGAATTATCCACGCTCCACGGCAACAGTGCTGCTGACACATACGTGCGCTTCTTTGTATGCACTCATGTGCCCAATTGTGGGTGCTTAATTGATACTGCCAAGTGCCAAATGACAAGAGTAGTCCCTAACGTACATGAATACTTTGAGATGATTTAGGTCTTGCAGTTTCTTGTTTGCTTTTCTTTGTAGCTCAGAGTTTGGGAAACTACATTGCATGTGTCCAGGACCAATGTGGCAATGTGTCCAAGACCAGGATGTTTCTGTCAGATGTCTTGTGTGGTTCGTTAAAAAGGAAAAAAAAAGACATTTCTATGAGATGCAGCCGTATTCGTATTTCCTATCCAACATTCCTGCCGGAATAGCAATCTTTTCTACCATGGATGAACTGGCCGTGGCAAGCTTTGACTAATGAGTACTAGCAGTTTTGTAACTGTTGACAATATAATTTCTGTTTTTCAATAGTAATTTGAGGATTGCTTGGTCTTTCTTGTTTGACAGTTAACTTTAACAGCACATTGCACTGATGTCTCTGCGAGTTCATATGGCTACACAAGTTGTCAATAGTGCAAAACAAGAATACCTTTACTGCAACCTGTGTTTATGTCAAAAATCATGTTAGTTCCCCCTGGGACTACAAAACAAGCTTTTAGCCCATGGAAGGCATCTCAATTCATATTTTTCACTTAAAGTCTTCTTCTGCTCCATTTGTCTTCCTAACAAATTGACAATGGATCGTTGCGTTCATCGAAAAAATAGTAGACCCCTACTTAGTGATTGTTATTGATAATGCATCTTTTCAATAATTTGTTACATTTTTTTACAACGTCATTTTATCTAATGTCTTTAGTTGTGAATTGTGTATTCTACTTGTCAAATTAAGCTGTTCCTTGGTCACTACGAAAACCATGAAAGTTTAAATGTTCTTTTTATTACTCTGTATAGAGAGCTAAATACCCTGGAGCATGTAGAGAAAACCAAAAAATATCAGGGTAAGCTTGCAGCACGGTTGAAGGCCAAATATTTTTCCAACAGGACTTTTGAAAAAGGTAATTTGTAAGAACTGAATGGCGTGGTAAATTAAGATGAACATTTGTTTCACTTATTTTGTTTCAGACAATATAATCTGTCAGTTATGTTATCCAGCATTTTCTGTTGATATGTAGTTCATCATATTTCAGGATGTGCTACTCTCGAATCAAGAAGTCAACTTAATGAATTAAAATGAAATGTGTTAGCACTAAAATTCACTAGGTATGAGTAAAATCTTCTGGAGTCTACGAATCCATTGTTTCCAAGGCTAGTTCATATTGTATAGAGAAGCCAAGGGGAGCCAAGTGATAAGGGGACAGTTGAGGAATGGCATTTCAATTTACAATGAGTTGAATACAGTATATTTTATTGGTTTCAATTTCAAATGTTTGCATCAATCTTGAGGCACATTTGAAGGCGTTTATGGTGCACTTACCAACAAGTACATGTAAAAATGCCACTCTCCTAATCTGAAACGTAAGTTGACAACTTGACATACTAATGATATGCAGACTGAAATCCAGTATTTCCTTAGTGGCCAAGACTAATAGTACTGCAAAATTCTGAATAATCATAGAGCCTGTTCGCTGGTTGGTTTCTGGGCTAATAAGCCCGGCTGGTGCTGGTTTGTTGTGAGAGGAAAACACTGTTGGCTGGCTGATAAGCCCTGGCTGAAACCAACAAGCGAACAGGCTGATAGCATGAGTCTATGGATCACACATTATTAGCTGATCAATAACCCGATGCCTTACCATTATGTCATATTGTAGTTCCATAAGAAATGAATTTATGATTGCTTTCCGTGCTTTGTACAAAAAAGACAAGAAGTTTGATAGCCAACTTGTTTTTTCTCCCTTTTTTTTCTTTTTATACTGACTGGATCAGTTGCTGCAAGTGGAAGCTCTATACTGCCAATGCAATCATATGTGTAATTCTGATTCTCTTTACTGTTTTTTACCATGCTGTGAACAGGATACGCATTTGAAGAAATTGCTATAGGGTCCAAGACCATCCGGCTAAGCAGGTAGTGTTCTCTTAATTTGCTTCTTGGAGTACTGATCTGAAGTTTCACTGCAGCAACCATATGTTTTTTTTGTTTGTTTTCAGGTGGCCATTTACAAGGTTGTTTGCAGATCCAGCAAAATTTTGCCAAGAGAAGAGCTCAACTGAGAAGGACATTTCTCCATCTCTGGCTGGTGAAGCCATGTCAAATGATTGAGCACCTCATTTAGCTGAAGAAATATCTAACTCCTGGCATGTGGCAACTATCCATCATGACCACCCGACGGATAAGAACCCAGTAGTTTGCATCACTAACTTCTATCTGTTATCTTTAAAATCAGTGACCTGGAGCTTGTATATTTTTAACGGGACCAAGTTAACCTTACACAGTTTTGAACCAAAGGCAAATTTCGTTTTGTAGACCTGTTTACAGGTATACTGAGATCCATTGCCTATATCTATGGAAGTACACTGATATTGATATTATTCCTCCACAGGGATGTTTCAACTTTTTACCTGATACGGGTGTCATATCCATGATCTTCGCATATTTTCTGATTCCTTTTCTTCTGAAATGATGTAATTTGTAGGGCACTAGCATCTTGTCTCCTAATATTCTGTTTGCAGTACCAACATCCTAGCACTCTGATGCCAATTATTGCAATGCATCTGCAACATCGATGGCAAGCTACAGCTTGCAATCTCGAAGTGCCCCCCTTGGAATCATGATGAGCAGCAGATGGATGAACACACCCACACCTGAACTGCATCAGCTACTCTTATCTTCATGCAACTGTGCTGTTGCAGGTAAGACGCCTCCTGGGACTGGGAGGGACAGTTTGTTGAAGTGCTCAGCCCTCTTGTACTTTCCAGTTGTTTCTTCCTGCTGTAAGGAAAGCTCCATGCCCATCACTGTGAGACATGGCATGGTGGATGGTGCATTGGTGCTTCTTCCACCGGCGCCTGGTGTGAGCCAGTGCCCCAGCCCCCAGCCCTTTTGTTCACTGTTGCTTGGGCCCTGTGATGTGAGCATCTCACGCTGGTGGCTACCTCCTTTGACCCCCCCCCGGTGTTCACACGTACCCTTGGACAGCCTGAGCTGATGCCGCACTTGCACTCGCGATGCGGCCTCAGGGTCTAGATCTGTTTTGCTCTGAATCTCAGTGCTCGTGCACAGGGGGCCGTTCCTATCTTCAGCCACACAATTTTGCAGTTGATATCTATATTTTTTTCTTGTTTCTGGTCAACTGGATTTTATGTGGGTTGTTGCTCTGTCAAGAGTTCCTGGCCATAACCCATATTATCTACATTTGACTGTGAAATGCCTGTGCCTGGAGTTCATGCTCATTTTTCGCAGTTGAAAACTGTGTACATCAGTATATGAGCTCATAAGCCATGCCTCCAAGGGCACATATAAGTTGGAGCCGTGTCATCACTAATCAGTTGCACTGAATTATGACAAGTCTTCTTGTACTTGCATGCCTTAGTTTTACGGTTTTCTTTGAAACGCCGGACTTGTACTGGCCTACCGTGAACACAGTAAAATCGGGAAGCCTTGCCCTTTTGGTACAGCTTATTGCTAATAAGCTAGAACGCAAAAACTAGATAAGACCAATTTATTTTGACAGTGTTTTTTTTTCGTTTGTATGACTTCCCAGAAGCATTTTTTCTGACTGCTCTACCAAATAGGGGCTCATTACTTCATTAACAGGTTTGCAAGTCGCAACTCGAAAAATAGCACTATCATGATATCCACGTTAACTTATCATCCTTAAGGTAACAAATACCAAAAACACTAGTAACTCTTAAAAACAAAAACAAAACTGGTACGGGTAGAAATATTGAATCGGGTGAAGGTGTGCATCTCTCTCCTTAAATTAATTATCCATGTCACACATGTTCTTATTATTAATAAATATATAATTATCCTCTCGAGTAAAAATTGGGTCGGATAATGCATTCGATCATTCAGCAATATTGATGCTGCTGGTGTTGTTGTTGCATGGCTCCGCCTCCGCCTCCGCCTCCGATGAGCAACTGTGATTGCTCGAGGTCGAGGCGCCGGCAGCGGCGCCCTTCTCCGCGGCCGCCTGCAGCAGCAGCTGGTCGAGCTTCTTGGCCAGCTCGGCCTTCTCGTCCCTGAGGCGCTCGCTCTCGCGGTGGGCGTCGGCGCAGCTCCTGAGCGCGCGGTTGAGCTCGTCGAGGAGGCGGCGGTTGGCGCCGCGGAGGTGCGAGACCTGCGCCCACAGCTCGCTGAGCTGCCGCTGCTTGCGCATGCGCGACCGCCGCGCCGACTCCCGGTTCGACACCATCCGCCGGCGCCGGTGCTCCTCGTCGGCCGCTGCCGTCGTCATCACCGCGTCCAGCTGGTAGCCGCCGCTGCCCGCGCCGTCGGAGCCGGAGCCCGACAAGCTGGGCGACCCATTGTTGCCGGCGAGGTGCGCTGCGGCTTCCCGGACGATGGTGTCAAGCTCAAAGCAAGCCGCGTCGCCGCCGCCGTCGATGATGGCTAGTAGAGTAGCATCGTCCTGGAAAGCCGACTCCGGCTCCAAGGACGGCGCCGGGAAGTAGGCCGGAGGCGGCAAGGCCATGTTCATGTGGTGGTGCTGGTGCGCGGCGAAGGAGGCGCTCGGAGGGGACAGGAAGCGGAGGCTGGCCACCTCGCCATGGAAATGGTGGTACATATTGCTCTTCTTGTCTTGCTCTCTTCTTCCTTGCTAGTGCTTGCCTGCTTGCTTGTGAATGGTGGATCGAAGAGTCAGCTACCTAGCTGTGGCTTGTTGGCTTGCTCTCTTGGTGCTCTGGAGAAGAAGGCCTGGGTTGGTGAGGGCCTTTTATAGTGAGGGCGAGGCACACAGTAGCTTTTGCTTGCTTACCTAAGAGAGAGAAATCTCTCTCTCTCTCTCTCTGAGTTGTGTTCCCATCCCATATTCCTGTCTGGGACTGAGAAAGAAGACTTTGGTTTGGTCCACCGTATTATATTAAGCTAGTGTATGTAATTTATATTTTAATCATTTTCTCTTTTAGTTTTGAGAATCTTGTCGATCCAAGTAGAGTTTGGTAGCTTGCATGCAACTATAGGCATATCGCTAGTGATCGAGCTTTTGAGGCTAGGCAATTGGCATCTCCAAGAAGAGTACTCCATCTGTTTTAAATTTGTAGATCCTTCTCCTATAGATCGCTTCTTATCCTGTCTTCCAAAGAGAATATTTGGATGAATTTTCTATTTTTATATTTGTGCATACGACTTGACTTGAGCCAGCCAGGCTCATCTCAGGCGAAATTAACTCTGGATATATTCGTGCCAAACCTCCGATCCGGCTAGCTTTTCGTATTCTCTCGCTTTGCTTTCGGTTACCACCACTTTTAACTTGTCGAGTATAGATTAATGCATGCTGCATGCACGACCTAATAATTTATACAGAAATCTTTTTTCAGCTGGGAGTGGTGTGAAATTCACAAGAGACAGCCACTTGCTGGCTGCCTGGCTTGCTTGCTTGCTTGTTGATAGGCACTGTGACACTAAAATATATAGCAACGTTAGTGGAGCAACTTGGGGAAGAAAACGGCGTCGGATTGCGCTTTTGCACACGCACAAACACATCAATTCAGCAGCCTAACACACACACACACACACACACACACACACACACACACACACACACACACACATATATATATATATAGGGTGATCGACTGGCATATAAAGTGACATCAAAGCTAGGTAATCGGACGTGTCGTTCTGTCCTTGTTCATTGTAGCGGCCGGGAGGCAATGACCATTTGTCCACAAATAAAAGTTGCGAGTAACGTTGCATTATTTGTGGCTGGGACTGCCAGCAATTGGATTTGTTTGATGGGAAGAAGGTGGTGACGCCATCCAAGTGGTCGCTTTGTGCAAAGGCTGAAAGGCAGGGGGCATGAAGCTTTTCGCTGATTGAGGTGCTTGTCCATTGCAACGGACCGACCCTCCTATAAACATTGTCAGGTCACACTCGAAATGGATAATAGAGATTTAAATAATAATATAACTCACTCCAGTTTCAAATATAATATATACATATAGGCAATGGTCACTCTATGACCACGAATTGACCGTACCTCATTTAATTAGGTTACTTGTGGTGGAACTTGACTATCGAAGTGGTAGGGGATCGACGTGCTCTTCATCAGCGATACGCATATAGTGACTTTGTTAATCTTAAGATCTTTTTTTGGAGATGCTCATATATAGGGATAGATGAGTGTATGTGTATCTCTGTGCTGTGTTTAAAAAAAATCTAATTGTTTTTAATACTGATGGTCAAAGTTAAAAGAAGTTTGCCTGAAAAATGTAAAACGACATATAATCATAGGGAATGATGATTTAGTGATGATTGACATCATAGCTGTTCTGTGTATGTATATAACTATATTTGTGTGTGGATTGAGACATTAAAAGGGTGGTGTTATACATATTTTGTTGTTGGATCTCGCTATTTTGTGAAAATTTATGAGCAAAATTATAGAGTACATATCTTTTTGGGAGAAGAAAAAAATGTGGATAACTACAATATTGTAATCCACGAATGAAGTATTAACGGTACATAATCCACGGATAATATAAGCACCAACCCTAAAAGTGAGCTGACTTACTAAAGTCATCTAGAACATGCCTGGTGAAGTTTTAAAATCAAATGTCATTGATAGTCACACTGCTTTTCGTGTGCTTGTCCTATGCAGACTGCATTACTGTTAAATTTGGCCGGTTTACTATTTTGTATGAAAACATATCTTAGTAGCATTTTTTTTGCGTTTATCTATATATAATTCAATTTCACAAATGAATCATAAAAAAATATAAACAAGCAGCACAACAAAAGTAATTGACTTAAAAAGTCAACTGGAATGTGCCCGTTGGATTTTTTGAAGCAAAAAAAAAAAATTCTATAGGAGTTCTTCATAACTTAGAAACATGCACCTTGAGTGAAAGTTGAAGTATCACTAACAATATGCTTAATTATTCTTGCCTAATTCTTTGGATACTGCCACTTTATTCTATAAATGAATAAACTGAGTTTTCAGACACTCATGTCAACACACTACACTCATTCTTATCAATGTACGCATGCACACCTTACCTTTGTGACCAACTCCAAGAGACTGAGCTGACAGATCTCAAGATTGACAAAGCCACCACAGACTCCTCGCTGAAGGACACGTCGCCTACTAGTAAAAGAAAAACCTCACTAAATCATAAAATAAATATAGAAAAAACACGAGCATCCATACCAAGTGTCGAGGACCTGAATTCCGATAGATAGATCATACCACAAGGAACCTAATAACAAACTGAGCTACTATTTACTAAAGTTATGCCATTTGGTCTCTGATGAGTGAGCTCTAGATCAGTGCATATGTATGCTTAGTCTAGAGTGTTTGGTCTATGTAATAAAGTAGTCCATTATCATCTCACTCTTTAATTTTTTTTGTTTGGTTTGCGGAATAGAATAAAACGATCCATCACCACCTCATTCTTTACGAGCTAATAATTAGTACTAGTAGGATGAATGAGTCATTTCATTGAATTTGAGGAACAGATTCATGATGCATCATCTCATCTAGAATGAGTCGTTGATTCCCCAAACACTCCATTAGTCACTATCTGATTATTCAACACTCCCATTAACAAATCCTTTTTTTAAGAATATTTCTCTTTGAGCTTCACCTCGGTAAAGTGCTTAACAACAAAGAAATTTAAACCTAATTAACACAAAAGGGCAATGCGTGTTTTGAGCTTCACCTTTTGGTAGTTATCTGGCTCCTTCGATTCTCTCCTTCTCGGAGGCAAATATTCCTGTGGGAATCGAATTAGTTTCAAGCTCAATAAAGTGTCTATCATAGGATCAATCGGATGGAATCCCACTTAGCAATGCGAATCAAGAACCTATGCTTGAAAAGAGGAATATAATATATAAGAGAATTAAAGGCACGTATCTCGTGGTGGTTCCTACATACTGTGTGCACATGTGAAAAACGGGCAGAAAAAAGATGTTAAGTTGGCACCATAGAATTCGTCCTTGTTATTATTACTTTAAATATTCTCCCCTTTATCATCAGCCAGAGCTGTGTGTTATCAGATGATCATTGTTTAGGTATTTCATAAACAACAATCACAATATATTATTAATTGGGATCTTTATTTTATCCGGATGAAATCATAAGCATATAATTTAGGACGTTTGTTATTATGGCTTGTGGAGGAAACGATACTAAAGGAGATTATGATTGAATCAATCTAATATTACATATCAATGTAACAATGTTCCCATGCCACTAATACAGAAACGATTTTTAGAGGCCCCTCTTTTTTTAGAGATGATTCTATCAAAGAACCGGCTCTAAAAATGGTTCATGAGATGTCCGCATCTAGAAATCGATTTTTAGAGGTGGTTGGAGTTTCTCGCCGCCCCAAAAATGTCATCTATTTTAATTAGAGGAGGTTGGGAACACAACCATTATTAAAAACCCAATTTTTAGAGGTTGTTGAGCTTTCCAATCGTCTTTAAAAATATAAGAGATTTATTATAGAGGTGGCTAGAGGTAGTTCAAAATATGACCCGTCTCTAAAAATAGATATAGCACAAAAAAATTCTTACTTTCCAAATAAAGTAGAATAAAGACAAACTCCGTATATCAAAGTAATAGAGCTCAAAGAGATATACAACTTCGTATTTGAAGACCTTTACATTTAAAATCAATTATAGGGTCTCAAAAAAATTTCAAATTCATAATAGGTTTTGAAAGTTTTTTTTTAATTTTTTTAAACAACCTCGGATGTAGAGACACCCTAAACTATAAAGTCGTAGAGCTTGATAAGCTCTAAAGCTTTGCAGTTCAAACTTTTCTCATTTAGTATAAGAGTTAAATTGGATCCAATAAATATTATTATATAATGATAATTAGAGTCTGCCATATATATATATGTATATATATATGATGCATTTTATATACTCCCGAGAGTAGTTACTTCCATAATCAATAAATCACGTTGCGTATATGTATATACCCATTTATCAGTTTGAGTATGTTGACATACTAATATTAAGATACTCCAGATCTTTACTATGTGATTTTTTTTTTCAAAAGAGCACATATTTTTTAATATATTATATAATATTACGATAGTAGCATATAAAATAAGTATAACCATATATTCTAAGTATATATACATATTTGTCATACATAGTACCATAGATGGTCTAGTATGATGGTATATTCCATCTACATATACTTCGTCGGGTCATATACATCCTAAATCTAGAGATATACACATACGAGTAACTACTCCTCGGAGTAGAAAATAATATACACACACGCGTGCTATTCTACACTACACCCTAGGTGTAGCTACACCAAACTGTTGTACTGAACAAAATTCAGTACTATTCAATAGCCGTGTGTCGGTATTATTCAGTATTTCATGATACTGACATGTATATTGGACCGATCATTGAACGTGGTTCAGATATTATTCAAAGATTTTCGTAGTCAGCTTTTTATCTCTTGGTGCTATATATATATATATATATATATATATATATATATATATATATATATATATATATATATATATATATATATATATATATATATTCCCGGGAGTAGTTACTCACATACTCAATAAATCACGTTACGTATGTGTA